CCCTGGGGAAATGCAGCTCTGGCTCATGCATCTTCATGCAGGAGCCCTGGGCTGTCCTCCAAATTTAGCATCGCTGTGGGATGAGCCCAGCCCATGCCCCTGCTGTCTTTAGATGGGTTTGTGCAGGGAGGTCTGCAGGGCAAAGCCATAGGGTGCCCAGGTCTGGGGATGGGGACATGGCTGGAAATATCTTCCATAGTGCCCCAGGACCACATTATGGCTGCGTGGGGCAGGATGTGACCCGGGGACAGCTGGCACTGGCTCCAGCCCCATCATAAAGTGAGATGCGAGCAGCGGAGGAACTCCTCACACAATTCCCCCTCGAGACAGGACTCCTTATCCCTCCAGGAGACCTTGTACCTTCCTGACCCTCTGAGCATCCTCCTTGCTCCACGTCCATTTGCAGAGGCCAGCACACAGCAGCCGAGACGCTGCATCCCCGCTTTCCCCATCCACACGAAAGCCACCACGTAGCAATGTCAGCCCATAGAGAGAGGGGCAAAGCCAGGACACGGCCAACTGCAGCCTGGCGAGCGATGCCTGCTGCCTGCCCGAGGGCAAATGGGTAGGACGAGAGGTGGAGAAGGAAGAGGAGAATCTGTTCTTTACCTGGAGCAACAAGCAGCTGGGGGAGAGGAGCCAGGCTGCAAGCGGCAGTGAGACGGCAGCTACCCGGGGCAGGGCGAGCCGGGGAGACCATCTGGACCTCAGTCAACAAAATGAGCCACCAAGCTCCAGTGAGTCACACTCTGCTGCAGACGGTAATGGGGGGAAAAAATCACAGCAAAAAAGCAAAGTTTAAGTGCCACCATCTGCAAGGGGCAGCCCCGGCCATCCCCGGTGGGATCAGGCAGGGCTCAGGTTCTCATCCCTCTATTTCCACATGTGCTGCAGGAGATTCAGAGTCTTCTGGCAAAGTTGCTTTTCAGCAGCCACATGGGAATTATACCCTTACGCAGAAAGTGTGTTAACTGTCCAAGGAGGGAAACCACAAAATCTCCAGAAAGACAGCTTCAGCGGTATGGCTGGGGTGACATCACCTTGTCCCTCGCCTTCCCTGCTACTCGGCCATGGTTAGGGGCACTGAGTGATGCCAACTGTGTTCTCTGTGTTAGTAGTTGTTACCTCTTCTTCCAGCAAGGCTGTTACAGAGCGAGAGCATCTCTCTCTGCATGAGCTAAAGCTGCCCGCAGGCACACACGCTTATTTCTCATCACCCTTTGTGGGTCACAGGTTTCCTTGGTGGCCTGCCATGACACTGGGCTGTGCCCCAGCCATGTGTTTGGTGATGTTTGTGCAGAGAAACCGCATGGGAAAACCCTCTTCTTACAGATTATCTGCTGTCTGGAGGCTTTAGAGATTTTGATCAAGGTCCATCTTCCATCTCCACACTTGGGGGTTGTCAAGACTGGGCTGGGTAAAGCCCTCAGCCAGGTCTGACCTCGAAGCTGACCCTGCTGTGACCTCCCAAGGTCCCTCCTAGCCAGGATTACCCTACGATCCCATTATCCCTACCTCCAGCACTGTTGCTCTGTCCTAATCTCAGTGGCATCACTCCTGTGTGGGTCCAGCTGCCTCCTGCCACTGTTTCCCCAACTTACACCAAGGCTTGGGCCAACCAGACCCTCTCACAGCCCCTGTCCTTCAGCCAGACCTCACCAACTGTCCATCTTCAGTGCCACGCACAAATGTCCTCCTGCAACCTCTGCCAACACCTGCAACCTCTGCCAACACTTCCTTGCGCCCGTTACCTGGATGGGGCTCCCAACCCCCTGCCCACCAGCCTGACTTTCCTCAAGCCCCTGAGCAGGGACCCCAATGCACAGGTCCACCTAGAAACATCCTGCAAAGGGTTAATACACAGTGCCTAGTGCTTTTTGTTAGGAGTTACCAGATCTGGAGCATTCCTCAGCCCAGCTCCCTCACCAGGAGCTGGCAGGGGTTGCCCAGGGCTGTGCTTACCTCCTGCTCAGGTGTTTCCATAACCAGCCTTGGGGTCACACCAGCCTCCTGCTGGGACTCGCAGGTTGTGGCCTCATCCTATAGGAATCAATAGTTGCTAATGGAAACATTCCCACCCTTGGCATCTCTCCAACACCCTCCCTCGAATCCAAATCCCTCCCTCCCAGCCCGATGTCTCACCCTTGTCCCTGCTGTCCCAGGCTCGGGGTGAGTTTTGGTGGGAGGAGGTTGCCCTCTGCCTGGTTGTGGATGGACACAGCCCTGGGAAACATGGTAGCTGTGGGAGGCTGGTCCTAAAAGAGGGGGGACACGAGGGTCTGCACCTGCACAGCCTGAGTCCCTTGTTCATGGCTCATGGCCCTCCCAGTGTGAGCCCTGCCCATACTGGGATGACACTGGAGGGGTCCCCAGCACCCCAGGGGCTCCCCAGCAAGCGCAGCAACATCTCCCCTGAACGGCTCCGCGGGCCCAGGCACAGGGGAGGCGAGGGCTGGGCCAGGGGTGTCACCCCGGGAGCAGCAGGACAGCTCTGGGCGGTGTCACAGCCAGGCTGAGGACACGGCCACCACACCTCGGGGACACAGGGAGCTCCTTGCTCCCGCAGGAGAACTGGTGCCTGGCACTCGTGTGTTACGTGCTGTCCTCATGCAGAGGCTGCTCGAATCCTGCCAGAAAACCGATTTGTTCTCCCAGTCCCCTTAGAAACGCCCGAGAGGCACGTTCCCTGCCTGCACCTATCGGGCAGCCTCCCGGTGCCGAGCCCGGCAGCGCGTTAGCAGGGGAGACGTGGCCCATCGCAGCGCGGCATCGCCCCAGCACCTGCCTCCCAGTATGAACCAGCATAGCAGTGACCACACCAGTGCCCAGCTGGGGTGCAGACACCCACACCTCTCTGGTGCACCCGGGAGAGCCCTCAGAGGCTCGGGGCCACTCTCCAGCTCAGCTTCCCAAGCAGGAAGAGCTGCAGGGGTGGAAGGACCCGCTCCCTGTGCACAGCCCTCACACTCTGTCATGCTCAGGGGGGTGCAAGGGGCCAACTTGCCTTCAAACACCATCCCCTTGCTCCTCTCTTTCCCTAACAGGGTACTGGGGCCCTGCAAATGGACCCACACCTCACCTAGGGACCCTCCAGCATCAGGGAGTCTCAGAGCAGAACACATCGGGCCAAAACCCACCCAGGCCCCACTCTTTAAATCTAAATTTAGCTTTTCACCTCTACCTGTTGAGCAGACTCACAAAAGCTCTATAATCTGCTTATGAGCCATTGCATGGCGTGGAGGGGGCCCAGAAAGAGCCGATGTCAGCTCATGCTGGGAAAGGCACCCGAGGGCTCAGCTTCTCCCAAAACAGCAAAATGTTACCACGGGCTGCTCCACTAACAGGTTATTTTTCACCTGGAATAACTGGACACCCCTCGCTTCGCTAGAGCGACACCTGCAACTCCTCATCCATCTGAAATGCTGTATCTGCTCCGAACCCACTGGAACAGTTTTCAGGATAAACACCATATTTTTGCAAAAAAAGCGCATCCTCTGATGCATTGAGCCAGCAGCAGTTTTAGGGCCTGAACCAGGCCTCCCACTGCGGGCAGGGCCAGCACTGGCTGCAGGCACTTGGGCCAGCCGCGGCGGAGGGAGGTGGGGGTCTGGAGGGGCTCTGCTGCTGGTCTTTGGAGGATCCCCAGGGCTTTCCGGGAGGGTTCAGCCATCCTTTAAATCTCCGCCTGCTCCAGTGATGGGAAAACCACCTTCACCGGGCTGGATATGAGCCCTGCCCTGCCCAGCGGCCGTGGGTCAGCACAGACCCACTCCCTCCCCATGGTGAGGACGGGGGGCAGATGAGGGGACAGCGTGACCAGGGCCACCAGCCTTGTCCCACGGCTTGGCTCTGTCCTTGTGGTTTCGCCTCTGTTGGGGCCGGACGATGGGGCCCGTGTCACAGGCTGTGTCCCTGTGCCGGATCCAGCATCGTCCCCAGGGTCACCCGCTCCTTGTCTCCTTGTCCCCAGGGGAGGGTGGCCCCCGCAGCCCACTCTGCCTGCTCAGGGCTCCACACCACCGGGGACCGCTGTCGGGGCGCCAAACCGGGCAGGTGAAGGGCACCCTGCATGGAGGGGGGGGCTCTGGGGGAGCCCGAGGGCTCTGGACCCATGTTCCCATCCCTATGACCCCCAGTTTGAGGGCTGGACGCCCATCCCCGTCCCCATGCGATGTAACCGGGGACCCCAGTGGGGCCGGACCTGCACCCTCATCCCCCTCCTTGCGTGATGCAGCGCGGGGGTCTCCGTGGGGGCCGTGCCGGAGCTCCAC